CTGCTCCATAGCCTCATGAATGGCCACTCTGTCGTCTTCTCTCATCTGGTCCACAACACAAGACACAGACACAGAAATGTTTCACACTGCTGCAGCCACACAGTCGACCAATCAGGGAGGCTGATTTTTACCTTGTCAAACTCATCGATGCACACAACTCCACCATCAGCCAGCACCATGGCCCCACCCTCCATGATGAAGCCGCGAGTGCTGGGGTCTCTGAGCACAGAGGCGGTCAGACCAGCAGCACTGCTGCCCTTACCAGAGGTGTAGACCTGGGGAGCCACAACAACTGGTATCAGTGTGTGTGTGTGTGTGTGTGTGTGTGTGTTGATTACAGTCTGAAGGATCAGATCTGAACGACTGGACTAAAGGTCTGGTCTTCCATGACTTTTCAAGGACTTTTTCCAGGCCCTCTCTTCATCAATGATGAATTACCCCGACAGGTGAGCATCTCTCCACAAACTTCAGCAGCTGAGACTTTGCCGTACCAGGATCTCCCAGCATGAGCAGGTTGATGTCCCCCCTGCGGGTGAGGCCGTCAGGCAGCCTGAGGGACACAGAGGAGGAGGAGACACAGGGTTCCGTGTTGTCTTAGAACTTTGTGACTGAGCTCCTGTTCAGGTCGTGACGACTCTCTGTCACGCCTCACCTTTTCCTGGAGCCTCCAAACAGCAGACAGGTGATGGCCTTTTTCAGGTCATCGCTGCCGTAGATGGACGGAGCCACGGAGCGGGCCAGAGAATCGTAGACGTTGGGAGACGCTGCCAGTGACCTCAGCTCCTCCTCTTCCTGTGGAGAAACAGATCCTGTCGCACCTCGGCCTGAGGAAAAGAACAGGGAGAAAACCTCATCACGTGTCTGTGTCTGTGACACACACACACACGCACGCACGCCTTGGCGCTCGTCCTCACCTGCTCCTTCTGTGTCCACCTGGATGCCCACCACCCGCAGGTAGGACGCACGGATGCCCACTCCCACGCCCTTCTCTTTGCCCCTGGCCTTTGCAGCTGCCACCTTCTTGATGGAGTAAATGCCCATGATGGTCACTCTGTTGCCTGGGACGACGCGGTCGCACAAGTACCTGAGGGAGGACAGGGTGAGTTAATAAATGTCCTCACGCTTCTCCTTTGACGAGCACAACACGGAATGTGGGACAACCGGGTGGACAACCGGGTGGACAACCGGGTGGACAACGTTACCTGTCGCAGTAGAGCTGCAGGTGACGAGGCATCTCACCATGAGGAACGGCGTCCGGAGACTCCTGCAGACGCAGAGTCTGGAAGTCCACGCAAACGCAACGGTCGGGGATGATGAAGTAGGGGTCCATGGGACACTTCACCCCCCCGGCGTTCTCACTGTAAGACGCAAAAAGTCGGCGATTAAAGTCTTTCCCACAACCTGAGGTCAAATATTTGTAACGCCCGTTAAACTCACGTGTTGCACTTGCGCGGCAGAGCGTAACCCTGCAGTCCGGGAGGCAGCGGGATGTTACTGATGACGTTACGGCAGCCGCGACACTGCAGACACACCTTGGTGGCCTTGGCCTTCACGGCCGTGGCAGAGATGATGATGCCGTGGACCTTCACCAAACGGGACACCTGCTCTGACTGAGGGACAGGAAGTTATTGGACCGGGCTGAAGATTGTGTGTGTGTGATGAAGACCACCACCACCACCACCACCCCACCCCCTCACCCCAGCGGTCCCCAACCTTCTCTGCTCCACAGACCAGTTCAACGTCTGAACCTTTTTTTTCATGGACTGACCTTTAATAAAATGAATGGACCGACAAAAACTGTTTTCTACGTATAATAACGAACGTTAATCCACTGCGTGGTCAACTTTGTTCATCATGCTTGTCTTTTAATGCAGAACACTTGGTGTCCATGTGGTGGAGCAGTTCTGTCATAGACAGATGAGAGAATCCTGTCATTTTTCAAAGTAAAAAACCGTTCAGAATCGCACAATAAATAAAACGGAAATAACGTAAGTTACGCATTCATTCTGTGTGGCCCGGAATCAAGTGACCCACGGACCGCTTCCGCTTCCCATGGGTTGGGCACCACTGATTTAGAGGACGTAGTTACCTTAAGGCTGCGGATGGATGCGTGATGAGCATCGCTCTTCAGCATCACCTGGATGTCCTGCACCGTCTCCTCCCCCGCGGGCCGGGGCCGAGTCACTTCATCGGCCACGTCTTTAGCAGCTTCTTCCAGCTGTGGATCAAAACACAGAGTCAGACGACAGACTCGGGGTCCGAGACTGTTGTTGTGGGTTCAAATCCCAGCAGACCAACCAGTGCTAGGTTCTCAGAGGGAAGTTTGTAGAGACAGTCTGAAAGATCTTCATCGAAGCTGGCCAGGTCCTCCATCTCCACCTCCACCCAGAACTCCCCCAGGGTGTAGTGTCTCTTCAGCTCATCTCTAGTTGAACAGAAGAAGGAAATCATTTCAATCACACACTCCGGACCACGGACCAACTTCATCTACATTTTATTGTTCTGTTCACCACTAGACGGTGCCAAATCATACACAGTGTACCTTTATTACTCATCCACATCAAAACAGGTGAAATAATGAACACTAAATGAATGATTATATGTGATGTGGAGAACAGAGTGGGTGGAGCCTCTGATGGGGGGGGGGGGGGTGTGTGGGGGGGGGGGGTGGGGTGTAGGGGGGGTCTTTGTCAAGCATTACATTTCATTTCCATCTATATCTATGTCTATGTCTATATATGTATGTATAAATTCGAACTCCTCACACACCTGTACTTGTAGGTGAAGCCGGTTCGGTCTGTGCCCACTCTGAACTGTCGCAGGAACTCTCGGAACCGTTTCTTGATCTGGATCCTCTTCTGTCCGCCTTCATCCGGACCCGCTCCTTCTCCGGCTCCGAAGCTGTCGCTGTAATAAACACCGGGGTCGTCGAAGCCAGACATTCTGCAGCGGCCAAGGAAAAGAAAAAGAGAGAAAGTTCCAGAAGAAACGACCAAAAGTCCACAGACGTCACGACACTGACACACTGCTGCTGTGAGCGTCTGTTCCGCGGCAAAACTAAACTGTTTCCTGTCTCTTTCCCGCGAGTTGCCCCAAGCCACGCCTCTGTATTGTTCTCTGATTGGCTGAGATGGATGAACCCTTTCACCAATGGAGGAAGTGATTATAGAGGGCGTGTCTTCGCTGAGAGGGCGGGCTCTGTGTACACCAGTGGCGCGAAAAAGACAAGACAAAAGCAGGAGGACGGAAACGAGTTAAAGCGTCACGTGACACAGAGAAACTTTAATTATAAAAAGTACACAACATCTAAAAATATATTTTCACCCGCATTTATTTAGTTTTAAGTTAAATAAATCATTTATTTAGTTCCACATTAAAACAACTCACAAATCCACATGACCTGCTGCTTGGGGGGGAGGGGGGGGGAGGAGGTATGTTCTGTACCAGGAGAGAACTTTTTGAGCACCTCATCATCGGACCTTGAATAACTGAGTTTAAAATGGTTCAAATGTAACTATTACAACTTCAATGATGATGATAACCTGTACCATAATAATGGACATGAGTGGCTCAAACTATGGCTCCATCAATAATTCAATAATTTGAATAATAATAATAATAATAATTTAGGTACCATGTATTTATGGTACATCAAACATTTGTTGCAGTAGTGTCAATCTGTGGACTACTTCAAGGACAGGATGCTAATAAACACTAACCTAGTTGTTGAGTAAAATAGTTAAAAATCATGGAAATGACGTTTTTTTAACATCGGTCAAACTTTAACCTCTGGTACTTTTAGATTAACAATGGCCAGGGAACCATACACATCAGTGTACTTGTAGTACTGTACTGTATACTCCCCATACTGCACATGCTGGTATTTACCAGTTCAAATGAAAAAACAAAACTTATTTCAAATGTTTTAATGTTTGGTCATGTGACATAAACAACGAGTCACACTCTGACCCCTCCCCCCCAAAAAAACTCTACTGGTAATGTAACGTATGGGGAGGAGGGGGGGGTGGGGGTGAGGGGGGGGGGGGGGGGGGGGGGGACGACTCAGGAAACGACTCCATGTTTCCTGCCGGTCTGGACGAAAGCGTGGACGCAGCGGTCGATGTCTTCGTCGGTGTGAGCTGCCGAAATCTGAACACGGATCCTGGCTTTGCCCTTGGGAACCACTGGGTATGAGAATCCAATCACATAGATTCCTGTGGAGGAGGGGGGGGGAAGCGGGGGG